AGCACATGTCACCACCGTCCCTGCATCAGACGGACGCAGATTCAGCCCAGTTTGTATCCAGTAGAGCAGTGAGTACAAGATGTTCCTATACCTCTGCTGCAGCCTGGCAGAAAGTGCCCACTGCTGCACCCTGTCCCTGCTTGCACACAGGCAGAGCGCACAAACAACCCAAAGGTCCAAGAGCAGAGGGTGAGTGTTTTATAAATCCACCACAATTAGAACCTGACCTTAGAAACAGCCACAGAAACTTATTTCTGAACAGCCAGTTTAAGTGCTGCTCACCCAGGAGGCTGTAGGTGTCAGTGCCAAGCCAGTAACATACAGATCTGACCACTCCGTCACCTGGGCAGGTCACTAACGCACTGCAGGAGTTACTGCGTTTCTCAGTAAAAGGGAGCAGACCTAAAAGTAAGCCACAGGGACACATCAGCTGTGGTTCTGCTCAGTGCCGAGCACCCAACAGCCTGACAACGGGAGATGCCTGGCTCCCAAGAGAGGACCTGCTGCAAGAAAATGCAGCGCGGTAAATCCAGCCCAGGAGGAGCAGCAAGATGCAGCAAGAGGTCATGCAAAACAGTGGTATCAAATGGCAGGACCAGCTCTAGCAAAAGGGAATGCCAACTTCCCAGCAATCTCCGCTCAGCTCTTCACCATGGAAGGGCCCAGCACGTGCTTGGTCCAAGCATCTGGCTTTGGCCATGATCAGTCTTCACCTCTTCTGGACCGGCTAAGGGTGATCCAAGTGGCAATCAGGGACAAGACCGTCTGGGACCCCTCTGTCCTCCTCAGGCCAGTCCCAAGACAGGAGTTCCCCATAGGGTAGTAGGTTGTTTGACCCCGGCAGTTGCTCTGGCAGCGCAGGGGCACACGGCTGCCTCCCCTTCAGCCCAGTGCCGAGGCGCAGCTGCGTACAGAGCCAGCCCTGGTGCCGGCAAGACCACGACTCGCTGGCCCTCCAAACGACGACAGAGAAGCAGGCATTTTGCAGGCCTGGCTGTTTCTTGCCAGCTTTCTGCCTTTGCAGCATCTGCTGTAGGGTTTCTTTTTGCTGTTTCTAACTGTGCCATATGCCTCAGTGTCAAAACATTAGCGCTTGCACACTGACTGGGAGCCCTCTTCCATGCTCCCAGGGAGCTCCTTCTCCCCAGATAAGCCTAGGCTCCCACAGGGCTAGCCCAGAGCACCATGCTCTCTAGTGTGCAGGGCTATGGGCGGGAATGCAAGGATCAGCCCAGCAAGCTCTGCCAGGGAAGGCCAAAGCCCAGCTCTGCTTACCAGCTTCCCTTGGCTTTGCAAAGGGCCACGCGCCAAGCCTGAACTTCCACGGAGTCCCAGATCACAGGCAACAGGGACAGCTCCTCGCTCTTATAGGAAGCGTTCCCAGAGCCAGCCGCAAGGAGTAACATGATGTAAAAGGCCTGCAATCACCTGGTTATAAAGAGAACAACAAAACCCATGTCAGCCACTTAAGAGCTAATGCGCATGTGACTGGTCCTTAAGATAGGATTTAGGAAACAAAGCAGAGCCCTGTCCCACAAATCCATGCCTCCCTGGTGTCTCTGTAAGCCACTTTTCTACTCCCAAAACCAGGAAGCACCACATCTCTTGATAGAGAGATCCAGAGAATCACCCCCTTTTGGCCTTCCAAAAAACAGTCCCATCACTCACAGAAGAGCCTGAGTGCAACGAGCTTTGCCACAAGCCCCCGACGTCTGTCAGTGCAGCGCAGGGGGGACCATCCTGCGGCATGTGCTTCAGGTACAGGGCTGCCTGTCTCCACTGGCAGCGCCACACTGGCGACTTACCTTCTCTTCCAGTGTGCCCTGGCAAAGCAAAACAGATTTCTACCCAACGGTCATGAGAACACAGAACTATTTCCCTAAGATCAATTTGTGCAACAGCCCTCCTGTTCTGTGCTGGCTTTTGGTCCTGGTGCATTTAGGGTGAAGTCCCAGGCAGACCGCTGTACTGCACAGACTGGAGGATGACTGAAGGACTCAGGCTGGGAAGACTCACATGGGGAGAACAGTTGCGGACCCCTCTCCAGAGAGGCAAGGACCAGCAGAGCTCCCGGGAAAGGGCACTTACCAATCGGGCTTCTGCACCGAGCGCACAGGGACACACACTGCCCCGCTCCCCTAGGCTGGAGGATCTTACCTGGTTCTCCTGTCTGGTTCCCTCTCCACCAGCTCTCTCCATGCAGCCCAAGTTGCCATTCCCAGCTGACCAGAGACGTGCCCAGCGCACGGCTAACCCCAGCCGCTGTGCTGGGGCAGGGCTCACCACCCCCTGCCTCCAGAGAACCCCTGTACTCTCTCATTAAGGTACCAGGGACCTAGGGCACAGCAGCACAGCATCCTGCAGGACTAGACAGCATTTCTCCAAGCATATGCCAAGACACAAGAACAAATCCTACTTCAAACGACCCTGCCAGGTCCCTTTGGGCTCACAGACGTTTAGCATCACTATGAGCAGCACCGCGAGGAGCCCTTCTCTCACACAAACACATGCCCGCTTCTTAGGGCACACTGGGCCCAGCCTGACAAAGGGGCTTGCAAGCAGCCAGCAGCCTCCATCCAGGCTGCCTCGAGCCTGGCAGAGGTCTCGATACCCCACAGCTCTGCTCTCCCCACTGCTGCGGGACGACCGGTGCTGCATCCCACTGCCGCTGCTCCCCCCGCTGCCAGGTGCTCCCGGCAGGAGCATTGCGCCCAGCAGTTCCTCTGCCCCTAGGGAAAGGAAGAAGAGATAGCCGATTGTCTTACTCATACGAGGTTTATTTTCTCTTCCCTGCGTTTCTGAAACAAGGGCCCCACAGCTCTGCTCTCCCCACTGCTGCGGGACGACCGGTGCTGCATCCCACTGCCGCTGCTCCCCCCGCTGCCAGGTGCTCCCGGCAGGAGCATTGCGCCCAGCAGTTCCTCTGCCCCTAGGGAAAGGAAGAAGAGATAGCCGATTGTCTTACTCATACGAGGTTTATTTTCTCTTCCCTGCGTTTCTGAAACAAGGGATGTACCAAGGTCTCCACAGCAGCAAGTCTACTATAGAAAAAATAGTCATTAATCTCCCATGGTAAAACCTTCCCTGCCCTACAAAGAACATCCATGCAGAATACAGCAATGCAGGCAGGGACCAATACACATTCATAGCCTTCTACTCAGGTAAAAAACGTATTAAAGCCTCTCAGTCATACAGAAATTAGCTACTCAAGAGAAATATTGTTGTTGCGCGCACAGCCACCAGGGCGTTTACTACACAAACGCATTTTATACGCTAGCTACAAAATTGGATATAGTGTCTCATAGTGCAATATT